AGCTCTCTGCAGGCCCCAGACAGGGCAGTCATGGCGGCAGGCCGAGCCAGCGGGCAAGTCCGTGGGATGCGAGGGAGCAGTGTGTCCTCCTCCCAGAGGTCTGGAGTTGAGGCTGTGCTCAGGGGAGGAGAACTCACTTTGTCACCTACGGAGGGCCACTGTAATAGGAGCTGTGACTTCAGGCTTGTCACCTACGGAGGGCCACTGTAATAGGAGCTGTGACTTCAGGCTTTACATGTGAGGTCACTCCCAACAACGCAGAAGCTTCCTGGCAGCGGCTGCCACCATCTGGCCGGGCTTTACAAATGGAGTCACACTAATCCTCAACACGCACAAGGAACTGGATTTGTCCCCATTTACAAATCAGAAACCAACGCCCAGAGGTGTTAAGCACTTGCTGAAGCACACAGTCTCTAGCCAAGTGTGAATGGTCAGAGTTCAGAATGGATTCCGCATTCCTAGCAAACCAGATCAGAAGTGGCTGAAGCAGAGAGACTTATCTGTCTTAGGTACAACTAAGCAGCTCAGGGGGACAGTGGCATGTTGATATCATCGAGGACTCTTTCTTTTTCTCCCCCTTTGGCATATAGGAGAGTTAGGGCAAGGTCACAAAATGGCTGTGGCAGCTCCAGACATCACATTCATATTCCCTGAAGGAAAGTGAAAGGTGAATGGAGCATGCCATTGAGGTCTCTCTCTTTATATGAAGGAATCTGAGCCCGGGTTGTCCATATTGTGGTCCGCGCTGTTGCCCACAGTACCGGGCGGCCCTCCCAGCTTTCTGGGCCTGAGAGGTTTCTTCCCAGGCTTGGGTGGAAGCCACTTTCGAGGGCCGTCAGGTGCTGGCATCCTGAGCCGCCGTCTTCCTGCTGGATCCCGGGTCTCTGTCCACCTGAGCCTTAAAAGGCAGAGGTGAGGAGACTCGGCCATGTGTCCACGGCGGGGTGGGGGGCACCTCCTTTCCTGCTAGCCGGGCCCGTTCTCAGGACCCCTCATTTTGTTCTGGAAGGAACATTTAACCTTTCTGCTCAAGCATCAAATCCGGCTGCTGCTGTGTAATTACGGACTTTTCTTCTCTCTCTCTCTCCGCCCCCCGCCCTGGAAGCTTTAACCCCCCTCGCTGGCTGCTGGGTACGGCTCTCTCC